ACGAAGCCTTACAACTTCAAGATGGCGTTAATGTTACCAGCTCCCTGATGTTACACCGTAATAAGGCAGCCAACACCAACGTGCATGTGTTTTGTAACCCCTTTCATGTTATATGTTATATATGTTAATAAATCAATGTTAAATACTTGCTGATTACCGAACCGTGCGGCATGTCGGCGGTAAATACTTGTTTACCGTAGTTCGCGAGCAGTCGGCGAAATAATCATTTAAAACTAAACATTTCCATAAGGCATGCTGTGTACCCTTACATCGATCGACCATTGAGATTCGTGCTTTTCGACCAACCAACCAATGGGAATCGTGCTCTTCCTAGAGTGACACTGCGATCCTGTCGCAGAGTGCAATAATCGACATTCGGCGAGTCGCACAATCGCGTCGCAGAGTTAGTTTTTAGACCCCCATACATACCTCTAATTTGTCATTACAAGAGGTCCAAAATCCAATGTTTTGCTAAAACCTTGTGTCACTGTTGCGCAATACAGAATGCTAAATTAAATTTGTATAAGTCGATAAATTTGTTCTAATAACATCTCATTTAATTCACATGTGACACCCGCATGAATACTGTAATTTAGAAACAGTGAAAATGGTATCCATTTTGTGAACCCAAAAATTGCTTGACCTATAAAACTTACACTTTTCACTTGTCCTGCATGATCTTTATGTCTACGTTGTGTTTAGGAAACTTTGTCTTGCTTGGCTGATAACACTTGCACGTTAAGAAAACCAGGTTCGACCCAAACGAACATACATTAGTTCATTACAGATAGTCCAGCTTTATTCACCAAGATGGTCAACTGAGGTAACTCGTCACTGTATCTTACAGAATCTTACAAACTCTAGGGCGTAGCAGAGTAAACACTCGATCAGTCAATCGCTGCAGCCTTTTGCAATTACTGACATGATTTGTTGAGTAGAACACTGTAATTTATTCAAGGTATGCCCTGAGCCTAGTAGAATTGTATCATTTAGTGTTTTAGTTGTGAAAACTGATATATCAATATCACGATGTCACCCACTAAGTAGTGAATTAGTGATGCCACACAACTTAAAAGAAATAGTTTGACACCTCTTTCAAAAGCATGTCGCCTACTTTAAAATATTTCCAAGTTGATTGGACAGATGCCCAAGTTTTTATATTTCCACATTAAAGAACTTTATAGAAAATGATTTTCTCATTAAATCAAATTACAAATAAATTGGTTAATATGCAGGTTGTTGTTAATACATACTGTACCTGAAATAAGCCACGGTAAATAGTTAATAAAGTAATGGGAAAACAGTCTAAATGAAGCCTACATTGTAAAAGTGAACGAATTCCACTACATGATTTGAACTTTCCCTGAAGGAACAGTTTTCATGATTGAACATAATGCTTTGAACAGTCAATACACTATGATTTGTAAATGGGATACCCAGTTCACCACCAAATGAAGTAGCTCTGCAAATAGTTTTATTCTTTTTAGATACTTATTGTTGACGTTTTAAATATAGTATTTGTGAGATTTTATTATTTGAACTTTACCAAGCAATGTCAAATCATGAAGTATTCTTTATTTTTTACAGTAGTGCCGCCAGGTTTAAATCCATGACAGTACACTGCAACTACTTTTCAGCACTTTGCCACAACTTTGCCACAACTTTTCAGTACTTTGCCACACTTTTCAGTACTTTGCAACTGCTTTATTATTTATTATTTATTATTATTATTCTACATCTGTTTCCGTAACGCCATAAGTTACAGCGTGCCGTAATTTTGCGGTGTTTTACGCGGTATTTTCATCCTATTATATAAGGAAATGCAAATTCCAAATATGGAATGATTACACGTTTAAGCGTCCTCTAATAATAAAAACAAGCATGGCTGCCATCAGGGTTTGACCGGACTCCACACAAGGAGGGTCGCTGATTCTGTTCTAAACTTTTTTGGATTTCGGCATTCCGATGATGTATCCTTGGAAGAAAAAGATGTATAATAATAAGTCGGTCGATACTCTAGCTGTCTTGATATAAATTTAAAAAAAAATTCAATAAATGCATTCAAGCTTAATAGTTGTAATCTTGAATATTACCGACAAACGTTTTGGCTAAACACTTTATATAATTTCTACTACAGATCCACCAACTATCACTACCTCACCAGTGGATCAAACAGTTCACGAACCAAACTCCGTGACATTAAACTGTGAAGCTACTAGAGGCAAACCAGCCATAGCTGTTACATATACATGGAAGAAAGGCAGTGATGATATCAGAATAGGAGGAAGATATAGTCTCAATGGTGGATCATTGACTATAAGTGTTACTGTAAGAGAAGATGATGGCATATATACATGTTATGCTAGTAATGGTATAGGACAACCAGATAGTGCATCAGCTACAGTTACTGTATATTGTAAGTACTGTTGTATGTGCAGTGTATTGAGAGCTATTCAGTGTTAGTAATATTGTAAGAGAAGATGATGGCATATATACATGTTATGCTAGTAATGGTATAGGACAACCAGATAGTGCATCAGCTACAGTTACTGTATATTGTAAGTACTGTTGTATGTGCAGTGTATTGAGAGCTATTCAGTGTTAGTAATATTGTAAGAGAAGATGATGGTATATATACATGTTATGCTAGTAATGGTGTAGGACAACCA